AGCTTCAAATAATTAACTGTTTTAGTTGTTGTAATCCTTTGAAGTTCCAAGTTTTTCAGATTTTTGTGTTCAAATACGTAATTATGCTCTTTTGGTGACATAATGAATAATTTTCGGTTTAACTACCTTTTTATGTAGCCTACTTTCTGAACGAATATTTAATAACATTAGAAAAACAACGTCTTTTTCAATGCTTTATATCACTGGGGCACCAGAAGATAAAATTTTGAAACAAATTGGTCCTCATTTAGAAAAAAACTGGCAATAATCTGAAATAAGTAAAAACTTAATTTTGTCTCTGTAGCACACTACAGCTCAGTACAAAAAAAAGTAAATATACAGTGCTCTCTTCTTTTAGGTATAACATTTACAAGACAAAATTAGAAATATTATTGAATTAAATTACAATGTTCTACAAAGTTTGTTCTTTAAGCCGAACAAAAATTTGTCGAAATCCGACAAAGAATAACAAAAATATTGCAATGTGAAAAATTACAAAATTCTAGTTGCCGCTTAATTTTGGCGGCCAGTGTACCTATCACTTAATTGGGTGTTTTAGTTTTTGCTTTTGTGAACTATTTTAATTTTTTAGAGTTGTAATGCTTTACCGCATCTTGATCTACAAAGTAAAAGAGTTGTAATGGCTCGTATAGGGGAAGCCATAAAAAGGGGTGCCAGCAGGGTGGTAGTCGTTTAGGAGGTTGTATCGTTAGCATTTAAATACATATCTACTTTGAAATTTTTACCCCGCAAAAGTAACTCGTGACGTGATTTGACGCGCAAAAGTGAAACTTCAAAATAAATCATCTGTCAACAAACTGCAACTTTACAATGCCTTTGACTTGTGCAGTAGCTGATTGTGGCAATACGTATGAAAAGGGAAAAGCAATTAGGATATTCCCAAAAATAAAGCTTTATGTGAACAATGGATAAAATTTTGTGGCCGTGAACGCCCCTTTAATGGAAGAACGTGGAGAATCTGTTCAGTGCATTTTGACGAACAAGATTACGAAAGAGACTGAGTTATTAAACTATACATCAAAAGGCGACGTAAACTCAGACAGGGAGCTGTTCCATTCATAAAAGGAAGGAAACCCAAACAACTACGGACAGTACTAATTCTTTATTTGCCTGTCCGAGGGGAGAGCAAGAAGAGCCCATGACGGTAGACACTGTATTTTCTTACCATCAAGACAATAATAATATGATAACGAATCTCTAAAACACCGTTGAACAATTAAAAAAAGAACTTTCTGAAAAAGAGCAACAAATACGACTGCTAAGAAAAAAAGGTAACATACTAAAAACCTTAAACAGACAAAAATTATCAGTTTGGTGTAAATGTAATAATATTTTATCAAATTTGTTGACGCCTGCTCAGATTCGTAAATTAAAAGATCTAAAAAAATTATATGGGCGTCAGAAGATATCAACAAAGCCTTTACATTAAGATATCTAAGAAGACCTAGGTGTATTGGAGAGATTCCTTGAATTATCCTTTACCAGGTATTTTATTATAAGCATGCTAATTTATTAACCATATGGTATTTTGCAGGAATTTCAACATTGCAAAAATGGGAATCAAAGATGATGTGCAGCAGGGTGTATAGAAAACGGTCTTGCAGTTTTTGAAAATTGCGGAAACCAATATGTCAGAACCTGAGCGGCTGATGGTTCTTCAGAAAGACGAAATGAAAGTGGCTGAAACATGTAAAACACAATCGCATAATACGACCTCATTCACAACTTCAGGTTGTAAATGACAGAAGTTTGATTGGAAAATGGAAGACTCCTGTTTTTGTCGATTTCTATCAAAGAATTACATCAGTAATTTTACATAATGTTATAAATGAACTAAATTACGAGTATGTAGGTTTTAAAATTATTGCATGTGTAAGCGATTGTGGACCGAGAAATATCTCACTGTGGCGTGATCTAAATGTTGTATACGAACATCCATTTATTATCCATGAACTAGCTGGTTCCAAGATTTATTTTTTTTTGCTGATGCTCCGCATCTTTTGAAACTAATTAGAAATTGGTTGCTAGACTCAGAATTTCTGTACAATGGTTGTAATATTAATACAGATATATTGGTGGAATTAGTTTCATGAAATTAGCAGCTGTTTTAAATTAACAGCGAACCATTTAATTGTCGAAGGCCCAAGTAGGCAGAACGTTCATATTTAGCAGCTGAATTATTAAGTTACACAGCAGCAGTTGCCTTAAAACATATTTACCCAAACAACCCCACCGCAATTGCAACTCCCAGTTTCATTGAACTTGTAAATAATTGGTATGACATTATGACCTCATACAAACCGAACAACGAAGTAATTATTAAATCTGCCTATGGTAAAGATATTCATAATCAAAACAGTGTTCTACATGAGATGTAAAAACTTATGAGTACGACCATTTTTAAAAGAAAAAGAACAATTCAAACGTTTCAAAAAGGAATTCTTTTATCTATTAATTCATTGAAACATTCATATAAAGATCCTAATGAGAACTATGAAATAACTTATGTTTTGACTCACAGGTTGAATCAAGACTCGTTGGATAATAATTTATTTGGTCAACTCAGAACGCGAGGAGACTTAAATGATCATCCTACTCTACTACATGCTCCACAAAGATTACGACTGATTATTTTAGGAAAATCTACAAATCTTCAGAATAATTCAAATTCGAATCACTGTTCAGATGTTTATACAAGGTGTTTATAAATGTCTGGGCATCAAGTTGGCTTTTCAAATTATGTCAACATGTTTTTGACAACCATTTGCCGCTTCACTGATATTTTGAATTCAGCACTTTCAATCCGTCAAATTTATCGGTTGAATAAAAGATCAAACGAGCAAAAATGAGTGTTTGTTAAGTGAAATTTAACGTTTGTCTGAGAAAAGTGTCTGAAAGTCCCATGAAGCTTTCTTGGAGGGCTCCATTGCTTCACATCGTCGTCACATGATGAATTCTAAAATGTAGTCTCTTTGTCCCAAATTCGGCCTTCAGGGATCGTCCCGGCACTTCAGAGTCTTCTTAGATCGGTAGGTAACATAACTTGAAGCTCCCAGTAACTTTAATGCAGTATCCACATCCACAGGTTAAATTAAAAAAGTAAAGTTATGTTAATACTCGTCTGTCAAAAAGATCCGTCGTTTGCACAATTTTGCTGTGCTTTTGAGCAATTTTCATAGAAAACCAAGTATGGTGAATTGGAATTAGACACTGAAGAAGCTGCACTCTTCATTTGACAAAGAATTGCGTGCTTTTAGATATCGTGGCTTCTACAGGAAGAGCGATGGTTTATCCCCAGACTCAGGTCGGATTCATGTGAAAAATACAGAAAAAATTAATTTTGGAAACGATATTGGATTCATATCGTTTTTAAAAAGAATTTATGAGATCTTCTATTGGATTATTTGATGATTTTTCGCTTATAAATTTGTGAACATGCTTTCTTTCTACTGGTGTTCAAGTGCTCATGATTTTTTTGTATGACAGAGGTAAGGTACCTACAGTGCGTGTACAGGGTTTCACAAACCAATAAACACAGGTGTTTCAAATCTTGGTGGGTGTCCACTATGGCAGATTATAGACTGAATTCACAAGACTAGACTAAAATTGTTTCAAGTAAGCAGTGGAAATGCCAACTATTAAATGATGTCTAACGTTTGGCTGAATTGAAACCTCACTTATGAAAAGGATCCTAAATAAAGAAGATAATAACCCCAAAAACTAATTTTTTATTATTGTGCAAGTGTTTCCAATTTATTAATACGCAATGTAAACTCCGTACAATTTAATTGAGTCCACCTCGTGGTAATTTCGGTGAGAATGGGGTCTAAGTCAATTGCACAGGAAGTGCACCCAATTAAACCGCACGGGTGAGTTCAAAAATAAAAAAATTAAAATAAATAATCATTTTCTTATAGTCTTTACGACAGTTGAGTTATTGGTTGCCCACTAAAACTACGTAAAAGAAAGTAGAAAATTAACTCCATATTTTGTTGTTAAATCTATGTTAAATAAATTGAAACAACACGTTAAGAAAACTAATTATGTGAAGTTTTAATTTATGCGGACTGACCGTTGACATAAAACTTAAAAGTGACAGGCACAGACGACGAGACCGCTACACACCCACGAGGGGTGTATTACGTATAATCATCACAACAAGACGGCAAATTTAACAAAAATTCCAGATGTAACTTGATGCCCAGGCATTTATAAACACCGTGTATAATAGGAGTAGTAAGTAGAATATTCTTCAACGTCTAGTCTATCAGATGTTGATGAAAACATGGAATTGAACGTATCTTCTGATAATAATAGCCTGCGACGTTATTTAGAACAAGATAGATTTGGCCGGATGGATAGCCAAAAAGCTTTGAGCTACTCCTCACCACCCACCCTCACTTAGGCAATTACACACATAATGTATAATGTAATAAGAAAAATAGTACATTATATTATAAGTGATATAAATGCATCATTATACGCGAGTGAGAATTTTGACACTTCTCACGAGTTTCATAATGGTATTTCGATCACGTGTGACATACGACGTTTTATCTTACAGGTGCAACTATCCAAAAAATGAAGTTTCATTCAAGTAAAATATTCACCTATAAAAATATAATAGTAAATATAATATAATAGGCCAGTATAGGCAGCACTCCACTCGGGAAGATCCTCAAGTTCATCGACACTGTCGGCTGGCTTGAGGAATAAAAACTGGCGGGGGGCATGTCTCTTAGGAGAGGTGGCACAATGGGCCCGAGTGAGAGGCCTCAGTGCCGGAGGGACTTGCAGTCCTTCACTCTTCACATTCAATCCAGAATCCAGAATAATATAATAGTCAAACTTACTCACTTGTGAGTACTTTATCTCACTTGTGAATAATATTTGATTTCTCTCACCGAAAACAATGGTCTAAGGTAGCTCAAAAACTCAACCTGTAAGATAAAAAAATTTGGTGATACCATCTTGGGTAGTACATTTGCCATATGGGGGACATTGGACTACCAATGAATTTTTAGCGTTAATCCAAAAATTAAATGACGAATTATAAAAAAAGGACTCCGCCTATCACAATCTTTTTTTTTATATAAGACATACACTTTTTGTAACTGTAAATGAAAACTTCGCATTTTTCTACGGTTAGTGGTACCCATAAATGTGGTCAATGGCAAAAAATTACAATGAAAAACAAGGACACTTTTAAACAAAAAAACCTAGCTAAAAAAATCATAAATACCAAAGAATATGAATTTTATAGTGCGCATTGTAAATTTATATTTAGATGTACGGACACGGAATTTTGGACGATTTGTCATTCGGTTGACATAAAATGTAAAACTGACTTTCAGTGCAACTTTTTTTTTAATTTTTGTAGTTTTTATACGGACAGCTAAATAAAAATGACAATAAATCAAAATAATAATAAAAAATAATAACTATGTAAAAAACGTACTGCAACTGATGGCATTTTTGTATGTATTAGGAAATCGACGCCAAAAATAAATTTCAACTAAAACTTTCAAATTTTAGATCCAAACATCAATCATAATGACACTAAAGCGTGGCTTACATTGATATTTTTGAACTGACATAACTTGATATCCAAAATTTCGTGTCCACAATTGCATAAATTTGTAATTTTTTCGATTGTAAAAATTTTAATTTATGGAATTATATGTCTTGTTAGTTACCCCAAACAAAAATTTAATTTCAATTGAAAATGCAACCTGTGAGCTTTCTAATTTGTAAATATGTGCAACCTATCAGATAGATAGAATAAATATGATTAGATTATTTTATTTAAGATCTAAAAGTCAAAACAATATTTAGCTTTCTAAGAAATTTCTGGTACAACTTCCACAAATTCAAGGTATAAAAATATTAGCGAACTGATCTTTTACTTTTATTACAATCTATTACCCGTTCTAACTCAACCCTTGAACACAGGCAAAGACTGAGTTTGGACCCTGTCTAGGGTGTATTGCTGGTTGTTTTTGAAAAAGAGCAATAAATGCTGAAAACTCAAGGTTTTCTGAAAACCGACTTGCCCGTTCACTCCCGGACAGCCTTAATTGTTCCCTCATATAAATCAGGGACGCAAGTAGGGAGGAATTTGTCCCGTTTTCTGCGGAGTCCGGAGAGACCTATTATTATAGTCGTCACCAGGAATATTTGAGATTGACGTATGCAAAGCTTTATTGAGGATTAAGCAGCCTTGCGGTCGGCCGTAATAATTTTTCACTGCTGGTGGTACTACCCTGAAGATTTACAAAAGAGCCGTATTCAGGAATTTTCGTGGTAGGCTTCTAATTTATTACAGACAAACATTTGGGAATTTATATATTAATTTAATATTAAAGTGATAATGCAGATTTGTATATAATATTAAAATTAATTAATTTTTTTTTTATGTAAGCCCAAAAACAAATTTCTGTTGCGGACCATCTCTTCCTACAAACCTTTGAAACGTCTTATTCTATAATGAGTCTCAAATATTGTTGGTACCAACTATACCTGCTCGTACCTGCCCCATTGGGTGGCCGTCGTCTCCGCCATCCCCTGCTTTTGACCACAGATAAGTCTAGGCCTAAGTCCGGTGTTTCCGCGGTCGATTTGTCATCAAAAATCTTTTGTATTCTACTTTCATTAATACCTTTTTATTTATTTATTAATTTTCAAATTCTTTTATTTTCATTAAACATTTTTTTTTTAATTTTACATTTACTATTGTAAGGAATATAGCGCTATATTTCATTTTCAGTATTTTTTTTAATCTAAGTATTTAATTTAATTTTTTTATCAGAGATATGTGTTAAGTTTTTGAATATATCCCTTTATTTATTATTTTCTTGGCTGAGTGCTGCGTTCCCAGTCACGTGTTACTGAAAACCCATTACTCGGCTGGGTGGCGCCCACCCACGACCTACTCTCCATCAAATACAGGCTGCCGTGGTATAACTTGTTTTACCAAAAAAAAAAGGAAAAACTCTAGTTGTTTACGATTGGAAGTCCGATTAGATAAATTAGAATGATTATTATCAGATACGTTGGTGTATATAAATATAAGTTCTAACTTAGGTTTCAATTACAAGTTGAGTCTATTTCCAAGATAGTAAGTTGTATTTACTCGTTGCTATCTCAAACTCGTCGGTAAATATTTTGTTTATTGTTGCTAAGTCGGTAAGCATTCAAAATCGTCGTCAAAGTACATATTTTGACGTTCTAGAACATTTTTTAGATATTTTATTAAAAAAACTAACAAAAATCAATCGCGCAAAAAATGTCATAAGCATCACGAACGTTAAAGACTTGCCGATCTTAGACAAAACAATTGTCTTCGATCAGTAAAATGTCCTTACCCTTCTTGATGCTTAGTATACTATTTCAGATTTAAAATGAAATCTACGAGGTTACTACTCGTATTTATTATTCTCATATTAGTTTCTGTTGTCCATGCTAAGAGCAACATATTTACACTGAAGAATAAGACTAATATCTATTGCATAAACGAAGAAACTGAAGGTTCCGGAGTTTTTGTTGATCCTGTTGCTGAAACATCTGAGACGTTGCTTTTATCAAAAAATAATATAAAGTGGCTGTCTGATGATTGGGAAGTCAAAAATGCATCAAGCTTAAATATGGTTCATGTTACAGACAAAAGATGGAATAGTAAGTTACTTGTAAATAATGATAAAAAATTTGAGTAAGTATAATTTTTTGTTTTTTAGATTTTGCCATAAAATCGAATTTCTATTTTCATTATAAGTTACTTTCTTCTGTATCTGTTTCTTTATATGCTAAAGAGAAAACTGAAATAGAGATTTTCGTGTACAATAATGAAGAGCGCAAATACTATCATACATCAGTTGAAGACAAACAGTGGTACCATTTCACTGTCACTACAAAAAATAATTATGTTAATAATATGAGAAATAATGAAATAATTGGAAAATACGATAATGTTGTACCTACTGATGTTGTTTTTAGAAGTAGAAATGGAAACGTTTTTTTGAAAGAACATTTATGTAAGTATTCGTATAAAAATTGTTAAATTTACATTTTTTAATAATGTTACATTTTGTAGACAACTTGAGATGGTCAAACAAAATTAGTGAAAGACAACCAACAACTTTGACAATTCCATCAAATAGAATATCGTGTCTACTTTTGTTTATATCCTTATGTAATGAGTGTTATTTGAATATTACTTATCAAAATTTAACAACAACAATTAATAGTAATCTATTAAATCAAGGTGAATCAGTCATGAAGTGGCAAGTAAATAAAACAGTCTTAAACTTTGAGAAAGATGCTGAAATACATATTCGTAGAGGAAGATATGGCAGGGAAAATTTTGGATATTGGATACTCGATTACGATATTTGCGAGTCACCTAACATGGGTAAAACTTTGAAGAGATTTTTTTTCTCTTTTTTACAATATTTGTTTTAAGTTTCTCGCCACATTAATTCTTCAGAAGAAAAGTTGACTTGTAAGAGCTTAAATCAAAATAAAAACACCAAAAGAAACGTTACCACAAATAACTGCCAACTTAGTTGTCAAAGTCTGCTCGGACTTAATTTTCCTTTTTGCAATGATTTTACAATAGGATATAACGCTAGATGGAATTGTTCTTGGGATTCATCTGAAAATTTTTGCGAAATTGGTTGTGACATTGGAACTTTTGAACTTTCTTCTAACAGCACATACAATAAAACACATAACAAATATCCTAGAAGTACAAATGCTAAAGCGGGTAAAATTTTCATTATGTAGTTTATTACTTTATAACAATTTGTTTTATATTTCAGAAACTCCGAGAACTACAATTATTGTTATTGTTGTTTTTCTTATTCTTTTTCCTTCTTTTTTTTTTATTATCATATTTGCATTTATTAAGTGGTGGAGCTTTATTCTTCCAAAGAATCTCACGCATGGAGTATGCTCGAATTGACTCCAATAGTAAAATGTCAATTCTACCGCAAACTCAGAAAAGTATATTTTTTTTAAGGAAAACACTGGTAAATTTAACATTTCTTCTGGATATTTAATACCATCAACTTCGAACCAAAGATTTTTAAGATTGCAATGATTAAATAAGCTACAATCTTTTGACTGATCATCATTTGTTTTTCTATCTGCTTGAAAACCGATAATTCCGAATAATGGATTGTAGACAAGCGCCCAAGCAAAATACTTCTTGCCCAAGCGACTGCCCACCCTGTTCAAATCAAATTATATATTTGCAAAAAAGTGCTTTTCTGATAATTTGAGAGTTTTTCATAAAACATTCCAAAAAAACAAGTGTGACCACCTATTGTAAACTTTTAACTGTAACTGGCGCCACTCCGAATAATATTATTGGATTATGTTTCAGCTGATTCGACACGATCTGTAAAATAAATATTTTAATTAAAATTTGTTGCTGTAAAATGATTTAATTTTTGTGGTTGGTAAATTTATTCATTTTGCTTACTAGTTGTCTTTTACAATTTTGAAAACTTTAAAACAGTGTTGTTCTTAAGTAATTTTTGACAATTTTTAATTTTGAAAAGGATCTTTTATCAGAGGCAACTAAAAGTGGAACGTTAATAAGACTCTAATAACAACAAAAATATTGAAAAATGCAGATACTAAATTATTTAATACAGTGTGTCCCCGGATAGGTGAAACGACAATATATGAAAAAAAAAAAGTTACTACATTTTGTAAAAGATTTAAACAAGTTTAAGTTTATTGTTGAACTTTGCAACGTTTTACTAAATAACTGAATTTACTTCAAATACC